TGGCCATGCTAGCCGTGGAAGGTGAGAGGTGGCTGGGGTGAGGGTGGGCATGCTAGCCGTGGAAGGTGAGAGCTGGTGAGGGTTGTGGGGTGTCAGCTGTCAGTGGAATTTACCGAGTGCTGTGCACATGTGGTCTGACTAGGGCAGCTGTAATAGGTACCTACAGGGATTGCACATGTGCCTTGAAGACGAAACAATATTAAAAAAAATAAACAAGAAGTTAAATTGCTAATCATTGTGTTTGTTCTTAAAACAAATTTAACTTTTGAGTTCATAAAAATAAATTTCTGTAAAATTTAAAATTTATTGGCTAATTGATTTTAGCTACTTTTTATTTATGTGCACTTTAAAGTTGTTTCCATGGGAGTTTTAGTAAAGATTTATTGTTCTGATTATTTGTCATCAGGGTCCTCTTATTCCAGTCTGTTTGTTTGTTTGTTTGTTTAAGCAGTGTCTCACCCTGGCTTGGCCTACAGCCTGGCCTAGAATTCAGTATGCAGCCCAGGCTGGTTCCCATCTCATGGAAGTCCCCCTGCCTCAGCTTTCCAAACACTGGGATTGCAGGTGTAAGCCAGCCTGTTACGCTTCTTAACATTTCACTCCTGCTAAATAAATATTTGGGCAGTGATTGATGTAATAGAAAATGAAATGCTTGCACCGTTTTTGTTAGCCACTGAGACGAATGGAGTAGAAATCCTGTGCACAGGTCCCATGCGAGTGGGCATCAGCCCGGGTTTAGCATCTACTATACATTTTTAAGTTCTGGAGTGTTTTATAATGCTCTTCTTATATCTTTCAGTTAAAAATGCCTTATAGTTCAAAGATTTTTGCTTAAAAGCTAATCCTTTGGGCTCTGTAAAATAGATCTTTTGTCTAATCAATGCAAATTGATTTTCCTGTCCTATATTGACCTCTTAACCCATTGACTGTCCGTGGTAATTCCGTTTTCACCTGATAAGGTACCTGATCCATAAGTCAATTCTAATTAGTTCAGAAACTAGAAATTTAAGTTCCTAAGTGAAAGCCAAGTGAAGACTTACATTCTTAAAATATTTTAAAATATATTATTCTAAAATAAGGCCTATTTATCAGTGACCTTGTATGTTATAGAAGCTTTACTTTAATTACTTTTATATCTATAATCTCATTTGATAATATCACTGATAACACTTGTATATCTTCATTTAAAAACTCAATTTACTTTGCTTTTAAAAGCTTCACTTAGCTAATTTCTTTCAAATGGCTAGCTGTATCAAATACCATCACTATTACATTTTTTTAATTTTTGTAGAATTTTTGTGAAATTTGCCACTGAGATAAAATGCCCAAGTACACCAAATGGTATTTTTCCTTTAGATAAACTTTTTCTAGTTATAGTATGGTGCTAAAGGAGATCAGAAAGCTAAATAGTTGAAAAGTAGATGCAGCAGTTACTATATAAGTGGGATATATGTATAATGTATCTGTATATAATATATAACTCATTATACAGTATATTCTTTATAGATTCATTATACATTACACTCAATGCAAAGTAGTCTTAATTTGTTTTTATACCCATCATCTTCTGTATAGAAGATAAATTGTCCCTAAAATACAGCTTTATACAGTATAATTGGCTCTTAGGGCAGAGATGAAATACTGTTTTTATTCCCCAAACCAGTATTATTACTAAATATGCATCTTATAACACCCTTACACATGGAGAATATCCCAGTTTCATTGGCCATCTGTATGTATAGGCTTAGAATCTTCCATGTTTTCTGCATGAGGTTCTTACAGAGAGGAGCAGTAAAAGTATTTTTTTTAAAAACTTTAAATGCAACTATTAGTCTTTTGACTCTCCACCCATCCTTTCCTCTCTAACATACAAGCATTTTAAATAGCATTTCCCTGTATGTGACTGAACCTCACATCTCTGTGTCAGTTTCCCATTAATGGAAAGGGGAGGGTCTTGAGAAAAGGAGCAGCCTGTTGATTACAAATAGAGACACTTAGAGATGCCCATCTCAGTAGCCTGAGCATGGACACGCATGTGCTTCAGCCACCTTTTCAGATCCCAGAGCAAAACATGGGAGCAGACAGCGATAGTCCTATGTTGTTTTCCTTCACTTACAAATTCACTTCTCCTCTTCCAGCATCTTGTCCTTAGCTGTAGTTCTAACCAAAACCTTTCCAAGTGACTCTTGTGTTCAGGGCATGCACCAGCAGGGAGCAGAGAATAGTAACAGCCATGGCACACTGAACACTCACAGTGTGCTTTGAGAGCAAAGTATTATAATAGTACTAGTAATAATCAATCCATCCATTCTTCTGAGAAGCCATAATCATTCTGACCCGGTGCTTCCTCTTTCCTGAGGGGTCATAGCCTGGGGTTGCTGCTCTACTGAGCTCAACTGTAAGGCCCCCTCAAGCTAACAAACATCTTTCAGATACTTTTTCTAGTTTTTGTATCTGTTGCTCCAGATTATTTAATGCTCCCTCGGGAAAGACAAATTCATTTCTGCACAGATTGGGGTGGGCTTTCTAGAGGAGCCATGTTCATTTTCTGCACAAGAAATGGATCTTCTCTAGGATTTGTACATCTTGATTTGTTCTTGGCTTAGAGCTTGAAGTGGGTGCTCTTCTAAAGGGATTTATGCATAGGTTCACTATTTTTGTAGTTATGCTTTATATGATAAGCTTTTTATATTTAAAATCAATATGTAATCCTGTGGAGGAGCTTATCCCCTAAAACCCCATTTGTAAATCTATCTGAGCTTTGTTACACAGCACAGCCACAGTCTTCCATGGATTGATTAGGCTCCACAGTAGAATCCTCTCAATGGCCTGTTCTGATGATGAGGCAAACTCCTTCAGGATTGCTAGTTGACTGGAACTAAAGATAAGACTTGACTGCAATCCCCCAATGTGCTCTTTACAAAACTAGTGTTAATTTTCATAAAAGTGCCAGCCTTATTTATAGTGGCAAGTCTGAAGATTTTTACCAGAACTTTAGGTCCCTCTGTTCCAGTGTTTATAGGTATTCCTTTTGCCCTTTCCCCCATAGCAACTATCAACTTCAGCAAATTACTGGAATCGGGGCATGAATAATTTGCCCTATATATGAAGAAGAATTTTTTCCCAAATTAACAAGCAGCTCGCTTGAGATGGGCATAAACAGCATCTCCTCACTTCAACACCTTGGCTCAAATGCAGCATCAAACTTAATCTGTTTGTTGTGAGAGACTGTGGCTTCTGTAGCAAGAGCGTGCTGGAATCTTGAAATCAGTCAGAGCCCACACAGTAGTTTGTCCAAGCTAAAGTCGCGCGGCTAGCTAGTTAGCTGTGACTGGGGCTGAAGGTACACACTCCTTCATTCAGAAACTACATGTTATGTTTAAAAGGGGTTTTAAAGCTTAAGCTTCACATACTGGCTAATCTTGATCAATTTTGAATATAATGTTTTAATGGTTAAAATAGTTTACTAATTTGTCAGTTGGCATTCATATATGTGTGTGTATGTATATGTATATATACACATATATATAATGTTAGTATGTAAGTATATATGTGCATATATAAATCACTCCTAATGTAGGAAAGAAAATAAAAAGAATGTAGGTTTGCTAATATAAAGGCTACTTATTGCCTTTATACCTATGTGCTCTGTATTTGACTATTAAGATATTAAACACAGTAATAACAGTCAACAGCAAAAACTTTGAATTTTATGTTACAATATTTTAAATGCTGATACCAGTTAAATTCGACTCTCAAAACTGTTAAAAATTACCTAAATATTTTCCAGTTTTAAATGTGTTTCCAATGGAAAATGCTTTCATTGAGTTAGGAAAAACACTGAGATAAAAAATTTAATACTTCAGAGATTATACAACTTTCATCTATTCAGATTGTTAAAATTAATTTTCCAATGTTAATGAAATTCTGGCATTTGAAATAATTAAAGCATTTTTAAGTAGTCAAGTTCAGAGGTGTAATTTAGTAAGAATTATGTATTTGTTATTAAATCATTTTCTTGGTTTAAGTTGAAATTTTTTAACTCACATTTTTGTGTGTGGATAAAATGTGCTTCCTGGTTGTAAACTTATCAAAATATTTTAAAGCAAAGAGTTATGCATCTTACACCTGCAATCAGAATTTCCTATTCATTAAAACTAATTTAATAAATAAAATTTAGTCCTAATTTCAGGATCTTTTCCGGATTAATATTTCAAGAACTACAATTACATAAAGCCAGACTAAAATGGACTATCTTCAGGACCTCCTGGTCGCAGAGTCTGTTGTTAGCTCACTTGCTCTAGGGAGTAGGAGCAGCTTCAGAACAGAGGGAGAAGCAGTCCCAGCATTCCTGTGTCCAGAGAAGTGTAGTAGATGTGGCTGCTCTGCACTTCGTTCATTGTTAAAATCCAGACGCAGCTTTCCTTGAGAGCCCTACTCTGTAGATGAGAGCGCAGTCACAATCAGTCATCGAATGTGTTTCTGTTTGTGATGTTTTGTGTGGAATGTGGGTAATTAGCGTGGTGTGTTTGGTGTATGTATCTGTGTTTGAGCTTATGGAATGAACAGTGATAAAACTGAGTGAGCTAGCTTTTTCCAGCTTTGCTAACCTTTATTGCACGATGATGCATCTAATTTTTAATTTGTAAATACAAGATAGCATTCGCTGTGGCACCATTTGCTTTCATGGAGCTGCTGAGCAGTTTGCTGTCTTGAATAAATTTTGCTTTGAAGAGGGGGGAGGGATTTGAACCAGCACATTCTTGGGTGGTTTGTGAAGACTCACATGGTAACCAGCGTAAGCATTGTTAGGTTTATCTGAATAAGCACCAGCCAGCCATGTGAGTTCTAACGTGATTGCCCAGGGCAATGGAGAGAGAAGAGAGAGCCCCGAAGGATTGCACTTCTCTGGTTTTTGGAAAGTGTATTTGCTGGGGGAGGGGGCTGTAAGAGTCAGTGGCCAGGGTGCCTCCCCTCTCCCCAAAGCTGGTGTCCTGTTTCCCTCCAGGTCCTCATTTGTTCTGCTATCTCCTCATCATCTACTTCTTCTTTTCATTGTTTACCTTCCTAATGAGGGAGGCGGGGAAGACTGGGGCTTGATTGACAGCTACAAGCCCTTACAGTCTGGCCAGAGAGCAGTTGGCTTTGGTTTCAAAAGTGTTTTAAATGTTAGATTGTGGTCCTGTTTTTATCAAGTGAAACTGCTGCTCATCTGAAGGAAATTATCAAAGCTGAAAGGTTAGGTTATGTATATCACTGAGTACTAAACCTGGCATAAAAGTGGCCACTCACCCTAGAAAAAGCACTGCCCAGCGCATTTTCCGACCTTTAACATGGAGTTTCAAAAAGAGATATGTAATTTTTTCCCTTTGCAAAGTGCTTCGATTTGAAACCACCCAGCAAATGTCTCCAAGAGAAAACTGGCTGGGATGCGACCGAGAGCTGCAGTGTAATACTGCAGAGCAAATTTATTTTTTTACTTCAAAGAAAAATGCTAATTAGCCGATTCACTACTTTTAAAGTTATTGTGAAGCATATGGCGCCCAGTGTGAGATACATCCAACTGCTAAAATAGAGCGGGGAGGAAATTAGCGAAGAATGGGCTGTTTGGGGTGAGAGTGGGGGTGGGGAGGAGAGTAGGTTCTCAGGCAGATTCTCCAGCCCTTTCAGAAGGATTTTATCGCCCTTCTCTGCTTCCCCGCCTCCTCGTTTACCCACTCCCCCTGCCCCAAGCCCTGGGCCAACCTCTTCTGGACTCCAACTCCCCTCCCCCACTCCGCCTGAATTCAGGTGCCTGCCTCCCGCCTGGCCACCGACTCACACCTGGTTTCTAGCAGGCTCCTAACCTGCGGAACCAATCTTCAATAAGTATTTACAAAGTAGGGTTTGGGGCGTGAAACCCTGACCACCTCGGCCAAACTCCCCCAGCAAAGATTTACTATTGGCCGAGTTAACGCGGTTTGCTGAGATTTTTGGAAACTTGATTAGGCGGGAAGGGGAGGGCAGGTTCCGAGTGCTCTGTGCCCTGGCGGGTGGTAACTGGCCTCCCGCCCCCTGCAGACTGGCAGAAGACCGAGGCCCAGAAGCGACGGGAGCAGCTCCTGCTGGAGGAGCTAGTGGCCCTGGTGGACAAACGCGACGCCCTTGTCAGGGACCTGGACGCCCAGGAGAAGCAGTGAGTGGGGCTGTGGGGTGTGGTCTAGGGGAAGCCACACGCCAAGGGAACAAGAAGTTTATAGAAAGTTAGTTCGTTTCGGGGATCTGAGTGGACAGGTGCCTTTGTGTCCCCCATTGCCGCCGGGAATCCGGCTAGCTTGCGTGTAGAGCGGGCTGTGCTCCCCTTCAGGAGGAAATATAATTCTGTCTTTCCTGTTTGTCTAACATCCAGGGCGGAAGAAGAAGATGAGCATTTGGAGCGAACTCTGGAACAAAACAAAGGCAAGATGGCCAAAAAGGAGGAGAAGTGTGCTCTTCAGTAGCCTGCAGACCAGGTCTCTCTCAGCAGCTTAGCCTTAGGTCTCCAGGCCAGGGACAGACTGGTCGACTTAAAACTTTTTAACATTTTGTTTGACTGGATTGTACTTCTGGACCACCACCCCTTTTTCCTCCTCTCCAGATAATATACAAAACTCCAGATAGCTTTAAGGATTCTTTGTGAGTTAATCATGAAATCATTTTTGCAACCATGTGAAGTAGATTTGCACAGACACCTTGCGAATGACCATTGATGGAGATGCTCAAGAAACTGTCCAAAAGGGGGGAACGGCTTCCCTCATCACTTCCCTTCTGTTTGGGACGGGTTGAACATTTGAAACACATTTGTTGTAGTATTGTTGGTAATAGCATAATGACAGTGGGTGGGGGGGCAAAGGGGAATAAGAAAATGTCATGAATGATTTTTTTTTCCAATCCTGCCGTATGTAACACTGTTACCGGAATCTCATCGTTAGATCATATTCTGTATATTGACGAAACTGTGTTCCATTTGCCAGTGCGGTTTTCTGCAACCGTTTGCATTTCACATAAAGATAATAAAGTTCCTCTCTGCTCTCCTCAGAGGATGGTCCTTTAAGGTAGCCTGAGATAAACCCTGTGCTTTGAAAGGTGAACTGTGAGAATGGCCCCAATAGCAGTGAGCAGTTTACAAAGACAGCTGTATCATCTGACGATGCGCCATCTTTTTCTCTGAATAATTATTTATTACATCTTGCTTGGTTCCTACTTTCCGTTGGGGCTCAACATTGGCTCAAGAATGCTGTTAATATTTATTTCTGTATTGATGAAAGTCTGTCTTGGCACTACAAGTAAATCTCCAATTACATCTCTAGCATAGCACTGTGTTTTGTGAAAATGGTTATGTTTATTTATTACAATACTGAGTCATAAATTTTCAATAAAAGCAGAAACTTTCTTACCTTAAACCCTGCTATTTGTTTTCCTTGCATTGAAAACTTAACTGAAGTTTGTGTATCAGTAAGATTCTCCACATGGAATCCAGCACAGAACAGTGGACTGTGTTTGGAACTGACAGGGGTCCACAGGAACTCCGCTCACATAGAATGCAAATTGCAAAGTCATTAGTCACATTCTCAGGGGGTGTAAACTAGCCTGTCCTTTGGAAAGGGTCGACTCTCTGCCAGAGCCCAGGAGATTTGTGTGGTTCCATGGCACTGGGAAAACACAGCGCATCATGATGGATTTTCCAGTGTTACTTTTAATTGCTTTGGAGTCCTGTGTCGAACTGTATCCCACCATAACCAGCAAATCTGTAGGTGCTGAAACGAAAGGGAGGGGACTGTAGTTGGGGGAGGGGTTGTGCGGATACACGCCTTGAGATGGAAGAGAAAGAAAGGTAACAATGTCTGTGCGCTGAGTAAAAATGGACTCTTCTACACTTCTACCCTGGGTGTCTGAACAAAGAAAGCCCCGTCAACAAGTCCTGAAACTTACGGGAAACACTGGCGTTTACTTTAGCCTCTCTCTCTCTCTCTCTCTCTCTCTCTCTCTCTCTCTCTCTCTCTCTCTCTCCCCCTTCTCCCTCTCTCGGTGTCTCTTTGTCTATCTCTCTCTCACACACACACATATTCAGGCTTTTACTTCACTCGAAAAGTATGCTGCCATTTGCCATTTCCGATTACTCGTCTTTCAAAATGGTAAAAACTTGCCACAGAATTCCTTGATAGCAAAGAATTGTGTTTTTTTTTTCTTTCTGGCGAAAAGTTATTAGAACTACGTGAAATGGGGTCTTTGTCCTCTTAATGAGAAAGCAGAGCAGCAAGTTGCTGCTCCTTGGGGAAAATTCGCAATTCCGAATCCAACCCAGGTAAACCGGTACTCGGAAATCCACCGCCCGGAGCATCCTGGGGCAGCGTTTAGGGTGGATTCGAGAAACCTTCCCTTTCCAGGGGCCTCTCCTTTCCCCTAAACCTCCCCAGATCTGCGAGGTGACAAAACACCCCTAGTCCTAGATTTGCTAGTGATTGGGGGCCCCCCTCCTGCTTGGTTCCCAGCCTCGCGGGGTTTCCCTTCTCCACAGCGCCCGAACGCCCCTCAGCGGCGGCGGAGCACGGACTGGGATCGCGGGATCGGGCCGCAGCCAGTGAGTCGCGTTGCCAAAGCTCCGCACAGTGCCCGGTGGCGGGTTCCCTAAGGCAGGCTAGCACCCAGCCTGCCCACGGACAGGAGACCCTGAAAACCCGCTCGGTGTGAAGGGACAATGGGTCGGGGGTCGCGGCGATGCAAGCGTTTGCGGAGAACGGGTACAGAACTTTCTCCCGGCCGGGCGTCCAGGGCCCTTCCCTACCCCATGTGTTTCCACAATCTTTCTACTTTCCAGTGGGCACAAGGTCATTTGGTGCATCCAGGCTTGGGGCCCGCTCCAGCCTGGTGGGCCTTATGCCGAGACAACTTCCCTCTTCCTCCAACGCTGTCCCTGCTTTGCCCTGACTGCACAACTACCCTTTGAGGGAACCGTCGAAGCTTCTAGACCAACGTCTCCAACCTGGACATTTGCCTAGCAAAGACTGCCTCAATCCTCTGTGTTGAATTCTAAAAACTTTCATCTTGGTCTTGGTCTTACTTTCCCTCTTTTCCCTTCCCTTCTCTTCTCCCCTCCTCTCTGACTCTCTCTGTGTCTCTCCGTCTCTCTCTTCCCCTCTCTCTGTCTCTCCTCCCCCACCCCCTCCGCCTCTCCTTTCTTCTTAATCCCAAGGTTTTACTGGATGAGCGTTAAGGAAATTCGCCTGCAATTTGGGATTAGATAAATACTCTCATGGGGGGGGGAGGGTGTCCTTCTCACTCAATACCTCCCACTTGCCCGAGAATGGAGGGGGACAGCATCAGGAACCGACAGCGACCGGCTCCCACGCGGCGGGCCTTGGGGACCGCGCAGGCACATTCCAATGCGCACAGCCGCCCCACTTCGTCAACCTGACCCAGGCGAGGTTCCGTGACTGTCAATGAACCCGCTCTGAGGAGGCCAGAGTACCAGAGAGATCCAGTCAGAGCGTGAGCCCGGGAGGGGGGCCCCAAGAGGGTCAACGCAGGATCACAGCCGGGAGGCCCGGACAGGGATGCCGCCAGTGCACACTCCAGGACGTCGACATTTTCGTGCCCGCCAAACTAGAACGCCCTAGTCCGCGCCATTCCCCGGAACAGGGGGCAGGAGTATATTTCGTTTCTTTCTTTAAACCTCAGCACAGTCCGGGTGGCTCACAGCCTGACAGTCCGCCTTTGGGACTACTCCTAGTGGGGACCCGGAGCCTAAGGTGTGTGCTCGCTCGGGCCGCGCTCTGCTCTGCGCTGCTTCTTTTCTGCCCTCAGGTTTTATCTCTCTCCTCTCATTTCCCCCCTTTCCTCGCGTTCTTTTATTCTGCTTTCTCTTTCTCTCGCTTTTGTGAATGGGCCGCGGTGTCTTTGTTCTGGAGAGAAGCGCCCGTGTCGCTGACTTTTGTGAACCAGAGAGGGATCTTGTAAAACCTCCTTTTCTCCTCCGTGGTCCCCCGCTCACACCCCTCCTTCCCTGCCCCTTTGATTAGATGTTCCCTCATCGTTCAAAAAAAAAAATGTAATTTCGTTAGTCTGGCGGCCACTTTCTTTGAACATTAGCTCGCTTTCAGCTCCAACTTCAATTAGAAGGAGTTGATTTTGAGAGATCAACAAAAGAACCGACCAAAGCCTTATTAAAGGTCCTAAGAAGATCTCTCGGTCCTTTGAGAAGCAGTTAAGGAAACAGTGTGCTCCCCATCATATTCTGTTACCGTATTTTATTCGGACTCCAAAGAAAAGTGTCGCTTGGGGGAGGGGAGAAGCACTTTGATGAGCGGCAGTCGCGGCCCCTTTTCACTCAGCGGGCTCCCCCTTCCTTCTGGTCGCCCCGCGCCCGGTCAGCGATCGGAGCGGTCGGCGCGGCCTCGACATCGAGGTGCTCCCGTCTACAGTGCTCTTGGCGGCTCCCGAACTCACCCACGCACATACTCGGGCTCAAACTTTTTACCCGCCTGTTGGGGTGAGATTGGGAGAAGATACTAGGAAAGGGCACAAATACGGTCCCTTGTGTTCAGCAGGACATCCATTTAAAAGAATTGCCTTGCTCGTGGTTGGGTCGAAAACATTTTTTTTCTCTCTCTCTCTCTCTCTCTCTCGCTTTGGAAAGTCCACACAGGTAGACGTCCTTAGCAAGTTTATTCGGCGGGGAACTGGGGTCTTCCAGTACGAACAATCCGGGGAAATTGTTTCCAAGAGGTTCCTCCCATAATATGTAGAAAATGAAGTGAGGGGTCGGGGTCTGTGACCACACTTGTAGAACCAGTCTGTCCCTGGTTAGGTGGAGACGCGTAAGGACAGACCGGGTGTGAAAAGGAAAGTTTTCTATCAAAACCTCACGCCTAAGAAGTAAAATGTGGGGGATTGGATGGGGGGTGGGTCTGACTTCCAACGGTTCCGAAGAAGCTTTTAAGACTTGCGAACACCTTTGGTGGGGACCGGGATCCCCCGGAGACGCGGAGCAGCGGGTAAGTGGCGGCGCCTCCCCTGCGGTCTCTCCCAGGGCGCGGGAGTCCCGGGGTGCCCTGAACTGCACTCCCTCCCCAGCTCGGCTCAGCTGCCCGCGCCCGCACGAGCCGCCCGCAGGTGGGGGGCGCGGAAGGAAGAGGCTTCGGGGCCTAGGACGCCCCAAAGAGAGCCAGGGGCCGGAGAGCCTCAAGTCCGCCGCCCGGGAAGCCTCGCGCCCACACCCGGGCTGCGAAGCCCGGCGGCGCGCGCGCCAGAAAGAACCGGTTATCCAGCACCTTTCTGCCACTCCTTCCTAGCGCGGCCTGGGCAAGAGGAGGGCGGGGGCCCCCAGGCGTGCCTCGGGACCCGGGGCCCCCTCTGCTCCCGCGACTCCAGCGCTGCCTTCGCCCTCCTCGACTCGCTCTGAGCGGAATTTGCCACCGGAGCCCCAG